CTCATTGTACTTCGTTCCGGTTACGTATTTCTAGCAAAAACGTCACGTTTAACCCCTGTCCGGTACCAAAATGCCTGCCGGAGGAACGGCTAACAGTTCCAATCCTTCGGGAAGAACGACCTTTAGACCGCCATGGGTGAAAAACGAACCCGAAGCCGCTCCTTTCAACCAGATGAACCTGAAAAGCACGCCCAGGAAACGAGAAACCACCCCCGTAGACCCAGCAGAAAGTAACCCCATAGGTAGGTATTGTACCTATAGTATACCTAGTAGCTCGGTCAAATTAACCCAAAGCAAGTCAACGGAAAAAAAATGTGGTCATCCTATAAAAATTGTCTTTACAACGGGAATTGTTATATCTATAACAATTCCAAAAGTTGTGTTCTTCATAATATGGCACGCTACACACATCACACAGTAACATAATACTAATCAAAATATTTTTATCGGTCTATATAACGCATAAATATATAAAATAGTACATTCTGAGATTATCAACTCGAAATAAACTCAAATCGCAGTTTTTTTAGTTGAGAGTCTATTACGCTGTACTGTTCGGGTTGCTCTCTGGAGTCGGGTAAAGCGGGTGTGTGGCCGAAGGAAATATAGGTACAGGTAATATAGGTGAGATAGCGGCAACAAAGCTTTACCGCACACGTGCGACACGTACTACAAGGTAATAAATCAATGAATAGGCTCCCTCGCCTCTAATCGGTGTTGTCATATTGTAAAGAACTTATCCTTGTTAAAACTGATGTCTCACTTATAATTTAGGAGTATAAGGACTGTGCCCAATACATCTGCCGGAATATTTAAAACTACTTTATTAAACTGTAGTATTAATATCTCAATATATGTGTATAACAAGAAAAAAAATATTGATAATATTAAAGACGTGACAACATAGGCTGGATGAGGAAGGCTCGGTCGACTGTACCCAGAAGTAAACATGTGTACAAAAAAGGTTGTTTGTCCGCGTTGAGATGTAAATAGTGTAGTCTATATTTTATTTTAAGTCTATGACTACGACAGACATCATAACCCATCAAGAAATTTAAAAAAAAATCATAGTTCAAAAGACAAGAGGTTAATTTATTCCAAAATGTCTCCTTGCCAAATAAATTAAAACGAGGACCAGGAGTCTGCATGTCATTTAAAATACATATACAACGTCTCTCGCGACATTAATTTCTGCAACGTCTATAAATAAAATTAACGTAGTAGCAATCTAAATTAAAGAAACTGACAGTTACTTTCGACGAGGCCGGAAACAATGGAATCCTGCCAAAACGATATAGGACATAATGGAAAACCTTCATACCTGAAATATCGTTCTAGTTTTTGAATATCATAAATTCTATTGGAAGTTGTACTCTATGTTTAATACCTGTGTTTCTGAAAATCATCAAGTAATAATCCTTTAAATAATAGTATATTTAAAGTCAACTTGACAAGTGGTTTTACGAGACGGTTTTATATATGTTAAAGTTAAAATAGATACTTGCTGCTATTTAATTGTAAACTAAATAAATGAGCTATTATGTTGAAAAAAATCTGTCTATTTTTGTAAAAATGGCGGGTAATCAGCAACTACTTGTCATTTTTTACGTTTTATCATTGATTGGTTGATTTTATTTTCCCTTGCGTCTCAAGTGCTGTACGGTGGAGCCACCAATCGTTCTGCGGCCAACGCATAAAACACTTATTTTCGCAAATTCGGCGAGCGAAGGCATATCGAAGACGGTGTGGAGCTGAAAGCGACAGTGTTGCCATATTAAAATGTGTAATATCTATAATACGTTTTTTTTTTTGACGAAAATATATTTGGATGAAAAATCCGCGTCAATGTATTAATCTACGACAATGTCATTATGACACATTTACCATTGTCATTTGGATGTCATTATGGCTTTCATAATAGCACTAGTGCTATTATTCATAATAACACGCAAATTTTAAAATAAGGAACAAGCAAAAAAAGGTACCTAAATACGTGTATTTATTGTAAACATTAATTATATTATCAGTACAATTGGTTAAATTAATTCCAGACGATGACAGGTAAGTTGAATTTTTAGAAAGTAAAATTTATTTCCTGAGTGCTTGAACCTATTCAAGACCCATCATTGCCAGAATGTTACCCAAAATATTACATGACACTTTTTTCTTATTTTCTTTGGAATTTGGTTGCTTAATACATTTTCCATTTCTGTACCCCACAAAAAATCGAGTTGCTTGTGTTGCTTGGCCGCATAGCTATATATCTTCGAACCATTTCCAACATATTTATTCCTTCAACATTCCCTGTCGTTATAAAAAAATCTCGTAATATCTTCGTTTTCGTAAATGGAATAATGACATGAATGCATTGTCCTTCATCTTTAACATTTTGCAGCTGCAGATTTGTCAACTCGATACGTCGGCGCCGGTGCCGGCAGGCTCCCCCGCAAGTCTCTCACTATGAATGAAACTTTTGTCGGGAAATAAGTTTTATCATCAGCTTCCAACAAAAAAACGAGTTATGTTTTTTTTTTTCAGATAAAAAACGAGTTATGTCGATTTTTTGACCGAAATCCTTCCTATTTTCTTTAGGAAAGCAATTAAAATTTGGACGTAAATTTCTACTAATATCTTGTATTTCTTTTCTTTCAATTGATATAACTGAACGTAGCATATACCAAAAGTGATGAAGCCTTCCTATCTTTTGAAAGATGTTCAAAATATACAGGAGAACCTTTCGTTACTACTAATTCTTGGATTCCTTTCCCTACACCAATCTTTCAGTTTTTACATATTTGCTCGTACGTTTGTCTTGATTTTTCGGAAGTAGGGAATCGACAACGTTTTACGCAATGCCTTCAATATCCGAAGGGACACTTCAGAATCAGAATCACTCCATATTAATATTATTTCTTGCTTTTTGCTAAAACTGAACGTTTAATACAAAATTGAACATCAATAATTGAGCTGTCAAAGTCAAAATGGAAACAGATGGAAAGCAATCAAGAAGCACGATTACCACGGCGTCGTATATGGGCACCTGAAATAATTATTTGAATTATAATTTTTATGAGGATATCTCTGATATTTTAAATTAAATCAAATCTCTTTGGATCGTCCCTCGTGTCGCGTCGTAGATTGACTAAATTTTGAATGATACACGTTCGATACGAACTTTTTAATGAAACTTGTGTAACTATCGCGTTATTATGATGTTCGTATCAAATTGTATTATTAATAACTATAAAAATTACTTCGTGTTAAACATAGAATAAACAACAAAAATAAAAATTCTTTTATAGATACTGAATATTTCATACGATCGAGAAAAGTCGTTTAGTTGGCTTAAAAATGACGATTATTGACATTTACCATAATATTTTACATATGAAATAACAGCGATCTTCATTTCCAAGCCTTCTCTGACGCTGTTCTTGGTTTAATCATATAATATTATACTAAATTGTTTAATAATAGAAAATCCGTATTATTAACGTACTGTACCCAAAATCCGTAAATCTAAGGATTAATCAGTAGTTCTGGCAACAATGTCTCCGGTAACAACTCACTCTGTCGACTGAAAGCAGAACTATGGTACAGCATTCTTTATCCGCTGTGCTGTAAACGACTATCAGCGCGCAGCGGCGCAGAGCCAAACTAAATATCGGAATTCTCGGACAGGCTCGGTAACGCCAGCTATATCTCGGACAGGTTTTGTGCGACGAAATCGCCCATAAGTAGTTTTGTAGGTCATCGTCCTTTTTTCTCGGGTAATTATATGGTAATATATCTTAAATAATAATATCAGTAATATAGCGATATAAAAACTACTCCAAATAAAGCTGTCACGCTAAAATAAAAAGCTACTTATAATGATTTACCAAGATAAATTTGGTTTGCCCTCTTTATAGCCAGTATTAACTCAGATGTGTGTCATTAGTATTGAATTATTAATAGTAGGACATCTGATTCCAAGTTCGGCTATCTATAAATAAGACAATTTAATTTTAGATGTTGATAAAAGTCGGTTAAATTTATTTTAACTTGATACACGCATTTCAAGTTTCATATGATGCAAAAAATAGTGATTGGATGATTCGCATGGATAAATTTTATTGTACTGACTTAGTTACTAAAATTGTTTAAGAAAATATATTATCAATAAAAAAAGATAATCCTTTATAGGTATTTCGCCACTGCACTGCAAGAAAATCTACAAAATAAAATAGTTATTGTAAACACTTCTGCGTTAAACCTAAACGGACACTGTTTGTCAGAATTTATGTTTACAGTTATACAAATTTGCCTAACAAAAAAAATAACATTTCGGAAAGTTTATCTCTTTCCGTCGTGGGAAGCAAAAAAAATACAAAGAGTAAAGAAAAAACTATTTAAAATATTTAAATTTAATTATTCCAGAACACTTTACTTTTTTAAAACAGATACGTCTACAATCTACAAGAAACCGTTGACGTTCTGTTTTGACATTGTCGATTGATAGTGGATTGATTGAGATGAATCCGCCACATAGGTATAGACATTTTGTAAAAAAAGATAAGTTATAATAATTATTTCATAACGAAAAATATCAGATACGCTACTGAAATATCTAAGTTAAATTGACGTATCCTAATTATTTTTGACAAGTTGTAAATAAAAGCAAAAAAGCAAGAAAATGTTATAATTTGATTTGATATTCTAGTGTGAATTCTAGTGAACATTTCATAATTGATTGGTTTCCTACACGTGACGTGTTATAAAGTTACTTACTAGTGAAAAATTGTTCCTTTATTTATTATGATTTTTGGCCGAGGTCTACATTACGCTGCACACCTAACTATTTTACAATCATTTCCTGGAATTCTCATTTAATGTTACTATTAATTTAAATTCTGACACACACACATATCCTACTAGATTTATTACCTCTAAACAAAACCAATTGTAAAATAAATAAAAAATAACTTGAAAGACCATTTTCTATAAGTATCTTGTTTTTTCAGTATAGTGTTATATTATCAAAATCTATATCTTATGGATTATTGATTTAAAAAAATAAATAATATATTTATTTCACATATCCTATAATTCAATTTTATTGTTACAGCTAAAGTACAACTAAGGAAGGTCCATAGAGATTCAGACGATGATGATGATATTGACCTCGAAGAACTCTTATTAGAAGAAAAAGACACTGTATTAGGTAATATAAGACTTCTAATTGTTATTTAATAATATAGTATTTATTATACATCAGCACTGTTCTTATCCAATTGCTTGCAACAACAATATTTAAAGCATGTAAATAAAAAAAATCAAATTAAAAACTATTTAAATCTAAACCATCAAAAAAGAATTTTCTTTTAAACGTACAAAAACAATACTATTACAACTACTGATATTATACCAACAATTCCATTGTTGGTACAATATCAGTTTAATAGTAGTTGTAATAAATTCTAATAAAAGGCTAATCATATACTTTAAAATTATGAACGGCTCCTGAATATCAGAAGTTGACATTTCAGAAGATACCTTACACTTACATATACGTATATTTTGCCTAAATTGGTTGAGTTCAATTTCAACTGTTCAAACAATGAAAATCAATAAAGATATTAAGAATTTTTAAAATAAGAAATATTTTTTGTAAATTCTCTAATTAATAATAGTTATTGTGTGTATGTGATCTTGTTAATTATCAAAAAAATATAGGTGTATGACAATACTTAAATTGACCCTAAATATATTATTATTTATACAGGGTGCCACAAATTCGAGATACGAGCATTGGTATCTCAGTAACCGTAATAGATACGAACATGGTTAAATTGTGGCAAAGTTGCGTATTGGGATGTTCACCAAGATGCAATCAAAAAACTTTTAAAAAATTCAAGGATTGCTGAGTTTTTTGGAAAAAACTAATTTTTTTGAAAATCAATTTTATTTTTTCTTGTCGTTACTTTTTCGAAAATCAAAAAACTAATTGCACATTCTCATAGCCACTATTTATTTTTATATTCAAACAGTCTTTAAATAGACAATCAATCAATTATCATGACCCAAACTATTAATAAATTACTAAAACTGAATTCTGTGACATAATTGTACATACTTTTGTAATTAATTGTGTTTTGTTTTGTATAGCTTATTATTAACCAAGTTTGCTGTATTTCCTAATAATAAAGACAACATTTTATATAGGTACTAATTATACTTAATATCGCTGCAAAAATTATGTAACTTATAATTTAAAACCAAATTTAATTGGTGTTATTTGCAGAACCAGTTCAATTGAGAAAGGTGAAAAAACCAGAAAGGGAGAGTTTCAGAAAAGAAAAAGAAAACAATCCTTTAGGTAAATATGTAAATAAGTCTTCAACAAAAATATATAAAATTGCTAATATTAAAAAAAAACATTTAATGAAATATTAATAAAAGATAATACCGTTTGATCGAAGAAAAAAAAACGGGGTCAAAGACGGTTGAGGAATAAAAATCAATGATAATTTTGGCGACGTCCATCTCTAGACGTCATTTAAAGAAATTGACATAAAACTTGTCAAAATTAACACTAATTATGGAAAGATTAAAAAAGGATAGAACCGTTTCCGGACACACAAATCTATTTCCGATTTTTTTTCTGGAATTTTAAACTACACCGTTTAGAAATCATTTTACTCAATATAAAAATAAATTACAAACTCCTTACGGCCAACTGGCAGTAAGAGCCATTAAAAAATAAGAGTATACGAGCCTAAAAATAAAGAGTATAGAGTAAATGAAGTCTAGGGCTTGATCTCGCCAAAATTATCATCGATTGTCACTCCCCAGCCTTCTTTGACGCCGTTTTTATTCGATCGTATAGTATAGGGTAAATAATCGTACTCTACCATGTAAATATGTATATATCTAGAAATAATATATATGTAATACTGTTTATTATGAAGCCAAAACGGCAACAAAACGTGTGTATTTATTATGCTCTAAAATATATTAATAATAAAACTATATAATACACACTATTAATAGAGTTGACAACAAAGCCTGGAAGTTAGCCAATAGAAATCAACAAGTGCAGTTTATCAAAACTTAATATTTCATCGGTTTCAGATGTAAATACTGGTGTCTATTTTTTATAGGTTACGTTGTACGTCCTGTGAGTGGGAGTGTTGTCCGATTTTGGACGCGATCGGTCAATGTAGTTACTTTTACGTAAATTACTTTATATGTCGCCAACAGAGAATTTAGTAGCTTAACAATTTAAATTGTAAAACGTCAGCACTTACCTTTAATGTTAGTTACACATGACACCTTAAAATTTTCATAGATTTGAAAGTTCTGTGTATTTTGTTCTAGAGCAGTGATGGCGAACCTTCAAAGCTAGAAAATTTCATAATTCAAATAAATATTTGTCTCTCATAACCGACAGAGTTGGTTATTAATAATAATACTATTACCTACGTAATAAAGGGTGAGTCTTAAATAAGTGCAAATATTTTAGTGGTAATATATTTCGATCCCAGGAACATCTCTGAGGTTTTTTTTGAAAAAAAAAAGATGTTGAAAATCGTGCAATTTCTTTGAAATATTCCTGTAATATTTAGGAAAACTTTTTAGAAGTGCCTGTTCACCGCCAAATTTTCCCACGGTATAATTTCTTAATCTCTAATTATTATCATGGTTACGACACTAAAAGAGACTTGTGTCTAGCCCCAGCAAGCAACTATTAAGCCCGACCAATCACGTTAGAGTTTTTGACCAAACACAAATGAATTAACACCCTCCAAATAACCCCGCTAACCAACCTGATTGGTCAAGCTTAATAGTTGCCTGCTGGGGCTAGACACTTCTCTAAAAGAGATACAAATACAGAAAAAAATCCGGGGGCTATCAAATTTTTTTTAAATATTTTTTTTTATATGTTCACACTTCACACTAGAATAACTTTGTTATTTTGGACTTATTTGAAAAACGGTAAAGAGAAAATATGTTTCTTTTATCGAGATCTAATTGCCCTAAAAATATTTGCACTTATTTAAGACTCACCCTGTATAATATAATATAAAATTAATATATTAGTAATTATTCATACGAAAAATTATAAATATTTCTATTCTTTTTAGTCTTTAAGTCCAGATCACCATGTTGAATTAGAGCAACAATGGCTGGTACAATTTCTAGACTTAAAACCATCTCTGTGCTAGTAACTGTTAAAATTTTGATTAACTGTTACAGTCTTCTTCAACAGCGAATATCTCCAACAAAAAAAGCTATTGAGATGAACGAAAAGACAATTTATGGAAAAAATGCACCTTGATGATAAAGTGGTTTTTAAATTCCTTACTTTGTTAAACCAGTCCACAAAGTCTTTCAAACTTTCGTCAAAATAACAAACATTTTGTTTTCCGTCCTGTAATAGACAAATGAGGATTTAATTTTTAATTTTAAAAGAGGCGAAAAAGACAAATAATTTGACTTAAATTTGATAATTTTAAGATGTTTTTTTTTTTATTCTGTAGATTTTAAGTGTAGATTATAGCACCCCCTTCCCCCCTAATATCTGATCTATAAATAATATAAATCTGCTACAGCTGGTGTTAAATTAAGAAAGACTTCGGTACAAACGAAAGAACCACAACAAAATGGAGAAGAAAAAGATAGTTTCTTCGTTAAACCACAACTTAAGCCAGTGCCACAGAAAGAAAAAACCCCACCTAAAAAGGTAAGCAATAAAAAAAATTTGAAATTTTTTTTAGAAAAATATTTCTGTGATAGCCCATATGCACGTCCCTGGTGAATATTAGTGTTGCACAAGAGTCTTGAAAAAGTCTTGCAAGAAATTCAAGACAAGACATTCAAAATTTCTTGTCTTGAATTTCAAAACAAGACAAGACTTTAATATGCAAAAAATTTCAAGAGTCTTGCAAGATTTCTTGAATTCAAGATTTCTTGAAAGTTAGAAATGACACATTTTTTTTAAGTGATAATTAGGTCTTTGCGCAAGTTATGCCGGGTTTATATAACATTTACATAGTCGTAATCACTATCACAGTCATAATCATAAAAGTTAAACTATCCATTTTTTATAAACTTGTTAACATCTACCATGAACTTAGCTTTTAATTATGTTTCCCAACTTCACTGAAATGTTCTATAAACGCACATGAAAATTGCTTTGTGATTATGACGATGTATAAGACTCTGATTCTGATTACGACTTATGCAAATGTTGTATAAACCCGGCATTAATATTGACCAGTGTTCATTTTTTTTCTATCATAGCCAGTGTTTTAGAGTTGAGAGAATGAAATAAAATAAAGTCGAGGCAACAAACCGTATATTAGTAATTGGTATTATACACAAAATTATATTGGTATAATGATATTATAAATAAAACTAACTACTTTTCATGCACGAAATTGCTCCGCGAACAAAAAGTAGTATCAAATAGCGCAAATAGTACACTCTAGCATGACCTTTCCGTACACCCTGTGTCCAAACTTAAATCCTCACATTCATTGTCAGTGTTTGTTTGCTCCTTTGAATAAAAAGGTTTGCTCACTATTACTAACCGCGAATTCACTCCCACTGTCTTGGAAGGGTTCGGACTCGGTTTCACTATCGACACTTTAATTATTTATACTCCTCATATTTCATATTAAAACTTTTTCTGGTAGTGAGTAATACTTAAATAACTTAAGATAGTAATACTTAAATAACTTAAATAACGCACAAGGTTAGGTACGAAATAATAACCCAAAACCCATAAATCGAACTTAACTTTACTTATTCTTATTCAGCTTTTATTTGGTAATGGCTCCTGTTTCGTCAAACGGGCGAGTTGACGTAGTTCGTTTGCGGTCCGTTTTTTTTTTGCTAAAAAAAAAAGATTTTTTTTTGCTAAAATTAGCATCGCTGTTGTTCATTTTTTCGTATTACATTTTGTATACGACGCTTTCTATGAAATAAAATATAGAAATATTATTACCTTTTTGTTAGAATGTAAAAATTTTCAAGACAAGAAATTTCAAGAGTCTTGCAAGATAAGACAAGACTTTGCCATTCAAGAAATCTACAAGACAAGACTTTAAGTCTTTTCTTGAATTTCAAGACAACACAAGAAATTGATTTTCAAGACAAGAATTCTTGTCTTGTGCAACACTAGTGAATATACCGACACTTTTTTAGCTTTAAAATATGTCGCATTTATAGTTAACACTTAAAAAAAATCCTCAAAATTTCATTCGAAACGCTAAAAGTACTTGGAAGAAAATTATAATAAATCGAAAAAAATATTAAGAGTCTATTACGCTGTACTTTCGGGTTGCTCTCAGGGGTCGGGTAAAGCGAGTCGGGTAAAGCGAGTGTGTGGCCGAAGGAAATATATTTTATATTTCAGAAATCTGCCTAAGGCTTAACCTGATCCTGTCGTGTTAAGCCACACCCAAAATTTCAAACGCATGTGCTTTGATTAAAGCTTGAATAAGGTTTTCAGAGCTTCAGCATTTGCCATAAATTAGCGAGCAATTTGTTACAAAATCATATAAAGTATATCATTGTAATCACAAAACTTCAATCAATTTCCGTATTGTAACAGAATTTTAAATTATGTCTTTATTTTCGAGAAAATTTAGTCCAAACATAAGGAATATTTTGTTGATGTTTGACCATCAAAATCTTAAAAATAAAGAAGTTGTCTAAAAATGTGCTACAATGCGGATATAGTATAATCCTTTATCTTTAATTTCCTTCATCATTTGTGTAAAAATACCAAGAACGGTAAACGAATAGGATTGCTCATCCTCATAAGACGTACGTTCGCCTCTTCCCGCGCTTCAGCTGACAGTTGTGTCGTCATTGTAGTCCTTGTCATGATAGTGTGTATTTTTAGTTGCCTATGGTAAACTTATAAAAATAACAGCTGAGAAATTTGAGAGTTAATTATTTTGTCAATTTTAAATGTGAAAAGGTGTCTTTTAAAGTTTTTAGAGCTATAGAGTGTATAAATACGTTCAATTTGTGTTGTGGATTGTGACAAAGTGGTTTTGCTAAGTGCCTACGATATTGTTTATTAATTATTTTAAAGTAAAATATGCAAGTACTCTAAAAGAATGCTTGCAAAAAACTGGTGATGCTGGGAACTGCTGTTCTTAAAAAATGCATTATCCCAAAGTATTTAATACGATTTATACAGTTAATTTTCTATACGGCATACATATAAGGTGTTTTAAATAAATAAACTAAATAATGAACGTTTGCATTCGGCAACTAATAATGCACGTGTGTGTATTATTGGTTGCCGGATAAGGACTAATAACCATGACAAGGGCTACAATGACGTCACAAAGCGAGTAGTTTTCGCATGCACCTGGCGGACACTTTTGGCTGAATGAGCAGTCCTATTAGGTTAACTGTTCTTGTAAAAATACCTAGCCAGTTTTACATAACACGTTAAATGCCGAATTACTTTTTCGGACTAGTGAAATGGACTCTTAAGACTTTAACACCCTGTAGCTAAGAAACAAAGCAGAATCGGACCTATGTTGATATAAAATAAATCGTATTTTTACGTGAGGAATGTTTTTTGTAACACTTTGAAAATATTAAAAACAATATTAGTATTTAGTTTTTTCTTGAATAAAAATTGTGATCGAATCTTCATCTTTCATGACTTATACTATACTTATAGGAAATACAGAAAAATCACCAGGTCGGTTACTTATAATCATAACCCCAAATAATCAAAATCGAATGAAGCATATAATCTAAAAAACGGATTGTCTAAAACTGAGTTCTTCAAAAATGGTGTCGTTTCATTAACTATCTTCTCTTTTGCTTTAGGATCACAAAATACACGACCTACCAAAATTGACGAGTGTGACTGAAAGAAAACTACCTGAGAGGAAGTCATCGTTACTGAGGAGGGAAAGCTCAGATGAAGTTGAAATTGACAGAGTATGTATCATCTTTTTCACTTAAAATCTTTAGAATCGTAACTAACAATCACACTGATAAAAAAATATTTTTTAAATTTTTTCCCAACTTTCGTGTGTTTTATAGGATTTCTCGTTTACGAATAGAGATACAAAGATGCGGTTTTCATATTACTATAGCTACTTTTTTATGACACTAAAGATGCTATATACTGTAATTATGGAGTTTTTTAAATTTTTAACCCCCTCCCATACCCCCTTACCAATCCCCCACCCCCACCAAAAACTAATAGCCAGATTCTCGGGTGCCACAGTATTTTTGTGCCAAATTTGGTTAAAATCGGTTTAGCGGTTTTTGAGTTACCGTGTTACAGACGGACAGACAGACACCATGAAAATATTTTGTATTTAGCATTTATGACCCAAATAACTCATTTTGAGTGAAATTAAAAAAACTTTTTATTTGCCGATCTTAATAGCCTACCATACCTGTTGATGTGGGCGGCTAAAAAATAACATACAGGGTGTCCCATTAAAAAAATGATTGAGTCGTAGTTAGAAAATGACTGCTCCCAGCGAAAAACTAGTTACCCCATTGGATTTTACGTAAAAGTCTGCTGGATACAGTTGTCGCCATACGAAGGGGATCGAAAAATGCAAGATTTTAAAATTCGCCCTGTATTTCTGGAACTAACAAAGCTAGAACAAATCTGTGTGTAGCATCTTTAGTTTCATAAGAAAATAGCATAGTAATGTGAAAACCGTATATTTGTATCTACTCATAAACGAGAAACTCCATAAAATACACGAAAATGGGACATTCAGTACAAATTTTTCAAATTTTATTAGTATCTAACAATATTTTTAACGTTTTATATATCTTTTCCCATTCTTTGTAACTAACCTTACCAATTTACAATACACTTTCACACTTACTACATTATACTTCTATACCCAAAAATCAACCAATCAGGCTATCAGATTTTTGATCGATCTATGCCTTATATATGTGACGTTTCTACTATAATCTGTTGTTCCTTCCTCCAGATCTCTGTGTGGATAACGCTAAAATGGCCGATACAAATTGATAGATACTTTTTCTTTGTTGTTTTTCAGGAGGACAGGAATTTGATGAAGGTATGTAGGTTTTTCAGTTACTTTCTCAAGAGATAGTTAACATTCCTTATCCTACTCATGTTTCTATTGGACCATAATATACCGGGTGGTGCATCGTCGTTGGAAACATAAGAAATCGCATGCAAATTTTGAACTGTCCAGATATTGGCTCTCTTGTTAATTTTACAGCGAAGTCGTAAATAGATTTTTAAAAGTCTGCGTCTAATTATATTTTCCAAAAATGAATTACGGGGACACTAACCTTAGGCACTATAACGTAGTAGTGTGAGAGCCCAACAAATTACATTGATCGACAATGACCACAAAACATCCCCCCTAGGATTTTGATGTTAACAATTCGTAGAATTCGAGAACATCGTACCACGAGGTTCAATGATTGCGTTCTATTGGCGCAATGCAGAGTTCCACCACCCCCCCAAGATAGAACACGCGCACAGCGAAATCTACCGATTGCGCATGCGTGTCAGCGTTCCACAAGGCCGGATTGGCCAGTAATTCCCGCAATTCCTAAATAATTCCTTCATAATTTCCACGATTCCTCTATAATACCCACAATTCCTTAGTAATTCCTAATATTTCTGATAATTCCTTAATAATTCCTAAGTTTCGTACAGATTTCTCAGTAATTCCTAACAATTCCCGGATTTGTACACCACAATTCCCCAGCGGTTTAACCCTCAATTGTACCATAGAAAGCGCGTTGGTTTAAGTTGGAACAAATAAAACTTTTAAGAATATTAAATCACCTCCATATTTAGAGAGCCCAACAAATTACATTGATTGACAATGATCACAAAACATCCCCCCTAGGATTTTAACTTATATGTCATGAAATGAATGTAAAACGAGCGCCCCCTTGAGTTTGTTCGCGCAGTTCATGAAATATCGATCCCTATATTTAATTTAATTTTTTTTGAATATTACAGAAACATTTTTTCCAAAAAAAAACAGAAAACGAAATAGGTATATTAAAATTACATTATATATTAAAAACTAGCGTGTACCCGCGACTTCGTTCTCATGGAATTAATCATTTGTAATGGTGATGATAAAGCAAAGCAAGAATTTCACCCAACTTTTTGGAACACCCTGTATAACTTTTTAAAAAATTTCAAAATATGTAAAAAAACAAAATAAATTATGCGTGTCCAAGCGTTTTCCCGAAAGACTAACCGTTTTTTAAATAACAAATATTGTAATATTTGAGGGGCGTTTTCACCCTCTTGGAATTTGAGATTCAAGAAACCCCTCCTTATCGAACCTCTACATCCCACAGTTAATCCGATTGCCAAAAATCGGCTTTAAACGTCAAGCAGGTTAAGCAGAATCGTGATTACTCAATATTCATATTTTATGAAACACCTGTATAAATTTTTAAAAAATCTTAAAATATGTAAAACAACAAAATAAAATATACGTGTTTAAGAGTTTTTCCGAAAAACTCACCGGTTTTTAAATAAAAATATCCTAATATTTGAGGGGTGGTTTAACCCCCTTAGAATTCGAGTTTCGAAAAATCCCTTCTTATCGAACCTCTACACTCTACACCCTAAAGTCAATCCGTTTTCCAAAAATCAGCTTTTTACGCCAAGCGCTTTAAGCAGGATCGTGATTAATCAATGACCAGATTTTTCGAAACACCTGTATACATATTTAAAAAATCTTAAAATATGTAAAAGAAAACAAAATAAATATACGAGTTTAAGCGTTTTTTCGGAAACTTCGGGTGTTTAAATAAAAAAAATTGTAATATTTGAGGGGTGATTTCACCCCCTTGAAACTGGAATTTCGAAAAATCCCTTCTTATCGAAAATCTACATCCTAGAATCAACCTGTATGCCAAAATTGAGCTTCTTACGTTGAATGGTTTGAGCATATAATTTAATTTTAATATACCTACTTTATCACAATAAAAAAAATGCTTATATCAACACCCGATCGAACGTTTATAAAAATAAAACAATTATTGATGATATTATAAATTATATATTTTACATACCTATAAACTGAAAAAAAAATTGACAAAACAATTCGAATCTTTCCGGGGATTCGGAAAACGAAAAAAACTGCCATTTTTGTTGTCGCAATTAGGAACGCCACAGTTCTCTTAGCAGGTTTGCGTTCTCGGTCGAAAAAAGTAATTACAATTAAATTTGAATAACTAAAATTAAATGTACTTGGTAAAATAAGTACAAATACACCAGTAATTAATGAGGAAATTGCCAAAATCACACACCGAATATTCAGAAAACAACGAAATAAAACTATTGACATATTTAAAAAACAAATGAATATTTGTTAACTTTTTAATGACTAGCAGCGCCTGTAGTGTTTGTTCGCACAGTATTCGCACAGGTTTTACTTCCAGTCATTGCCATTACAGAAAATATTCTAAAGGGGGATGTTTTGTGACAATGAGAACATCATAGGTTGATTAAATTACTTAAAATCGGCTTGTCCAAAATTGTTCAAATTTGGCATGCGCAGACCTTTAAAAACATATTAACCACTCCGCTGTAAAATTAGCAGGGAAGCCAATATTTGGAGAGCTCAAAATTTGCATGGGGCTATATTTCCAAAGACGATGCACCAACCGGTATAATGAACTTTAAAATAATGTAAAACCTCTGACGAGAGGTAGGGGACTCAAAAAACTCACAATCTTTTTTTGAGTCCCCTACCCCTCGTCAGGGGTTTTACATTGATATGTACTCACACTGGGTTGGAGAACGTTTAGTTAGAACTTTAAAATACATGGAAATTATAAGGTAGATGTCCATTTTTCGTGCCGGTAAGTGTAGAAAATATGAGACAAAGGCAATATATTAAAAATATTTTTTTTTTATACTGATGACAACATATAAAAATACAAGAACATTTTTCAGATCACACAATTTCAAGGAGCTTTCCTTCTCACAAAATAAAATATCACTTTGCATTGCATGGAACTGCAAAAATCAAATGATACAGTTAAAAAACAAAAATGCGCTTGAAAAATTCCGGTACTGCCAATAAGTGATTGTTGTATGTGCTTTGCTCTATTTATAAACTTTTGATACGACTTGAGCCAGATGGTGGTAAATTTAGTTGCTTCAAGTCGGTCGATCGAATGTATCGAAAATTATATATTGTTACGACACAGTTTACAAAAGTTATTTTGCGATGATCTAATATATCAACGTAAGTTAAGGTTTAAAATATTTATATATGTTGCATTAAAAATCGGATATCCAGTAAATGTTAACAATCACTACTAAATGCTAACAATTACGTATTGAGCCAGGGAATGTCGTATTTTAAAGAAATTTGTCGACTTTTATTGGCAACAACTGTTAGCAGTCGCTAGTAACTCTCACTAAGTTACTGTCACTAGTAACATTTACTAAAAGTTTTCAGTAAAATTATTCTATTGTACCATAGAAAGCGCGTTGGTGGAAGTTGGAACAAATAAAACTTTTAGGAATATTAAATCACCTCCATATTTAAGCGGATCCACTCAT